TTCCTTCATCCATTCATCCATCCACCCACCCATCCATCCATTATTCTATCTATTCTCTCTCTCTCTCTCTCTCTCTCTCTCTCTCTCTACTGAATCATTAGAAAGTAGACTACAGATAGCATGGCTCTTTATCCCTAAATACTTATGTGGGTATTTTCTAAAAACAAAAGCATTATCTTACATAACAGCAGCACAATTATCAAAATCAGGAAATTTAACATTGATCTTATACCATTACCTCTAATCCACAGTTCATATTGAAATCTCATCTATTGTCCCTACAAGTGCTCCCCAGAGTTTCATTCACCCCAGGACTCAACCCAGGACCACATGTTGCATTTAAGTGGCATATCTGTGTAGTCTCCTTCAATCAGGATCAGTTTCTCAGTCTTTTCCTTTTAAGACCTGGACACTTCTAAGAGTGCAGGCCAGTTACCTTGTAGAATGTTCCTCCGATCGGCTTACCTGATGTTTCCTCACAACTGGATTCAGGTTATGCTTCCACCCCCCCACCACCATACCTCAGCCCCAGAAATACCACATAAATGATACTGCTCCTTCTCAGTCCATCCTATTAGGAGGTGGGCTATCAGTCAGTCCCCTTGCTCAGAATGTTAACATTAATCACTTGGGGAAGATGATGTCTGTCAAGTTTCTCTACTGTAAAGTTACTATTTTTTCCTTCGTTGGTTAATAAGTAATTTGTGAAGAGGTACTTTCAGATGATGAACATCTCTTATTCCTCATCAAATTTTACCCCTCTAGTTGAGGACTAATGATTCCTGTTTCAACCCATTACTCCTATACTGGATGAAAAAGTAGTGATTTCCTAACTGTCATTTCCTGTCTAGTTATTAGCTGGCATTCTCCTGTGAGGAGAAGCTTCCCTTCTTATCTCTCTAGGCAACTCCTATAGCATGGACTTGTGGATTCTTCTTTGATTAAATGAATAATAATCCACTACTCTCATTATTTACTTCGATGATCAATGTGGCCCAGATTTGGGCACTGAAAGCCTCTTCAGACGGTTTTCCATGTTCTTTTGACATATTCTTGTCATTCTTTTCTCACTTTGTAAGAAAATTTTCTGACCCAACAGGATGTTCCAGGCTCAGCTTGTACATTCCCTGTTCCGGTTTTAGAATCAGCCATTTTGCTACAGAGTCCTAGCTCTTTTTAGTAGAGAATGGTATTACTAAATCAAGATCTGGGTGGTAGACCAACATTTATGTAAAATAAAATAATACATTTCTTAAAAATATATATATACCTGACATCATCAAATGAAAATCCTCTCTGAGACAGCCCATTTCATTCAAGATGTCAAAGAAATTTCACAAACAAAATTAGCAAATCACTGTCAAAACCAAATAAACACTCATAGGAAAAGATTCATATGCAAGAAATAAAAGAAACAATATACAATGAAACAGATTTAAAGGAACCTTTGCTTTATATGTGTAAGAATTTAGAGAGAAAATTATAGAACTTTACTGAAAGTCATTAAAGAAGAACTAAACAGATGGAGCAATATACCATGTCCAAAAATTAGAAGACAATACTCTATTATAAAGATGTAATTATCCCCAAAGTGTTCTATAATTTCTATGCAATTCCAATGAAAATCCTACCAGGATTTTTCATGAAATTTGAAACACTGAATCTAAAATTTATATTAAAAATTCAGATGGGAAAAAAAGCCAAGATACTCTTGAAGTAGGGGGGAGATTTATCCTATGAGATATTACATTATTATAAAACTATAGAAAGTAATACACTGTGGCACTGGTTCAAGACAGACAAATTGACAGGATCAAGAGCCCAGAAACAGATCTATGCATTTATGGAAACTTGACATATAAGAGATTTGGCATAGCACATCACTGAAGAAATTGAAGTGAGACAACTGCTTCACATATACAAAAATCAGTTTCAATGGATTAAAGATTTAAAGTGAAATGAAAAAGTTTGACAACCTTTAAAGCAACACATTGAACAATATAATTCTGACCTCAGAGAAGGAAGAATTTTTAAAACAAATAAACAAAAAAGGCTAGCCATAAAATAAAAGATTGATAAGGTCAGTGATATTATAATTAAGAACTTTGTTCAAAAAGGCAACATTAAGATATGAAAGTATGAGCTAAGAGAGGCTATTACAACACACATAACTGATAAAAGGTTAGTGTTCAGAATATCTGAAGAACTCCCATAAATTGATAAGGAAAGAAAGGGAGGTAGGGAGGAAGACAGAGACAGGGAGACCATCCAAAAATTAACAAAAGACACAGACAAGTATTTCACAGAAGAGAAAATACAAATAGCAAATGATCCATGAAAATATGCCCTACCTTATTAGTAATTAGGGGAATGCAAATCTAAATCACAGCATTACACCATTCTACCTGCTTGATTAGCAAAAATTAAGAAATCTGGTATTGCAAAGCTGGTTCAGATGTGGATGAAGGTTATAGTCCACTGCTGGTTTATCAACGGTCCTCACTTTGGAAAACAATTTGGCGCCATTATATGAAGTTGAACATTCACACACCCTGTGACACAACAAATCTTAGTTATGTATCCTAGAGAAATCCTTAAATATCAACACCAAGTCTGTTCAAAATAGTAGAAACAAACTAAATAATTGAAATGTCCACCAATAGGAAATAAAGTGTAGTCATACAGAACAACATGGATGAATATTAGAAACAATACTGAGTGAAAAAAAAAAAAGCCAAAGAAGAATAAAGCAATATATTACCTTTTTTTTTTTTTTTTTGAGTTGAAGTCTCACTCTGTCATCTAGGCTGGAGTACAGTGGCACACTCACAGTCACTGCAGCCTCAACCTGCTGGGCTTAGGCGGTCCTTCTGGCCTCAGCCTTCCAAGTAACTGGAACTACAGGCACGCACTACCATGTCCAACTTATTTATTTATTTATTTATTTTATTGTAGAAATGAGGTCTCACCAAGTTGCCCAGGCTGGCTTCGAACCCCTGGGCTCAGGCAATCCTCTCACCTCGGCCTCCCAAAGTGCTGAGATTACAAGCTGAGCCACCACGCCTGGCCTATACCATATTTAGAAAAGCTCAAAAGCAGGTAAAACCAAATATTTTTAGAATACATCTAAAATGTAAAAATACTATCTTAAAAAGATGTAAGAGAAGGCTGAAACACTCCCCTACCCCCATAAAAGGATTCAGGTAGAAGCCCCTCTAGTGGAGGGACAGGCTGATGGGAAGGGAACTCAGGCTGATGGGGAGCACTGATATATTCTAGTAGTTGCACAGGGTAGCGGGTTCACGGAGTTCACGCTGTCAGGCTCCTTAATCGACGTCAGCTTGCTCAGTCTTGACACTACTGACTTCTAGGCTGGAGGAATCTTGTAATGGGATGCTGTCCTGCCATTGCAGGATGTTTAGCAGCATCCCTGGTCTTTACCCAGGAGATGCCACTGGCACCCCCTCCCATTCCCAGATGCGACAATGAAAAGTGTGTCCAGGCACAGTCGAATGTCCCCTGGGGAGCAAAACTGCCCCCTGGTTGAGAATCATGGATCTACATAGATGTTATATATGTATTTGAATGTTTTAAATATTCAGTAATAAAACACAGTTTAAAATGGATGGGTAGAAGTTTCACTCTGTGAGACACAAGCAGAAAGCCATCATGAAGAGCTGAGCAAGCCACAGCCCGCCAGAGTGCTTTGAAGTGACAGCAGAGTGGTGTGAGCGGACAGCTTCAGGAGGGTTCTGACTAGCAGGTGATATTTCTAGAAATGGTACCAGGTATCCGAAATCAATGACTCCATGCTGGTGTAAAGTTTCTGCAACCTTTCTCAATTCCTTGGGAAATCTAAAAGCTTAGTTTAGATTTTCTAGAACACCGTTTAACTTTTTTAAATTGATTTTTGAAAGCAAGGCCTTATGTTTTGATAGAAACCCTTTCTTCTGAGTCCTTGAAAGAAGCCGATGTATCTTATTTTCTTGAAGAGTTGGCTGTGTCTGTAAGGTCACCACATGTCTAACCGGGGCCCTCAAATGACTGGGAGATCTCAAGGAATAAGACCCAGATAATGTAACTCTGCTGTTCTAGGATGATGAGTGCCTGAGATCCACGGTTACTACTGCACTCATCAATCCAAGAGTCTCCTCAGTTACGTGGTTCTACTTGGTAGCACCTATCAGGTTCTAATACTTGCAGCACAGTTCCATTTAACCCTGGGTATGGAGCCTAATTTTCAAAACAGAGAAGCATAGTTGCAAAGAGGATACATAACTTTTTCAGAATAATTGATTAGAAATACATTTGGCATAAAAATATGGTCTCTATGACTTTTTTATCAGACTCTGAATAGCGTTTGGGCATATGTGAGTGTGTTCATGAAGATGTGTATGTCTGTCTGTCTGTCTGTCTGTGGTTTGGGGACATACATGTATTTCTCTGACAACAAGATATCAAGGAGTAGAAAAGGCAAAGGACTGAAGAAAGAAACCAGGAGGAGGGGTGTGGAAGAAAGAGCACCAGATTTTCAGGGCATGGTGGCTCACGCCTGTAGTCCCAACTACTCAGGAGGCTGAAGCGAAAAATTGCCTGAACCCACGAGTTCGAGAATACCCTGGGCAACATAGCAAAACCCCATCTCAAAAAAGAAAGGGGGCAACCCCTTCAGGTCCCCTCCCATTGTGAGCTTTTCTGTCCTCTCAATAAATCCTGCTTTCTCAAGGAAAAAAAAAGGGAGGGAGAAAGGAAAGAAAGAAAGAGAGTATTGGGTTCAGAAGGTGTCTTAGGCAAGACCTCTCTGGGTTGGTTTAATTGTAAAAACTCACAGAATTGTTACAAAAATCAAATGAGATGTATATTTGAGAGTAAATTTCTATATATAAATATGAGTGATCATCGTTATTATAATTATTTTAAAAACATAATCTAGATTATAATCCTACCCTCACGGGTAAGATGACCCCCATTGTCTTCATTTTCTTGGCATTTGCTCTTACCATATGTCCAGCTCAGAGGAATATTCAGTGGCTCCCAGCAAAGCATCAGGAGGCCGGTACCAGAGGGTCACGACTTCTGAAGAGTATGTCTGGCTGGGAATGGACTTGGCCCGTGCAAGACCTGCCCAACAGGGAACAGCATAAAACCCATTTTCCTGGACACTCTACCAGGGAAAGTGTAACTGGCAGATAAACACATTTTGAACATGATATACAAACTTTTAACAGACCTATTCACTGTCTTGACCCTTGTGCATCACTTCATCAAGTGAATTTCTCAAATTTTGGCCTGCTTTGCAACTAAATTGTGGGCTTCCTGGCAGCTCAGTGTGGTTGAGTGACTGAGTTCTTGCCTATATATAACATGAACAGAGGTGATGTATGACTTTCTAGATTATGCCTCAACGGAGGGTTAGGTGTTCTGCTTCCCATTCTTCCTCGGGGGCTGTGATGAGAAGGAGGTGGCAGCTATCGTGAAATACACAGTTGGGAGAATACTCTAGAGATGGCAGAGCCACATGACAGAGGAATCCTGAGCCAAGACACCACTTGGCCACCATACAAGCTCTGACTGCTTAGGTCAGAATTGTTACATGAGAAAGTTAAGTTATACCTCTGTAATTTTGGGTCTCTGTAACAGCAACTGAACTCCATGGCTAACAGGCCTGACCTCTATTTTGTAGTCCAGGAACCCTCAGTTTAGTAGATAAAGAGTGGGGACCATGGATGGGCTCGGTGGCTCAGCCTGTAATCCCACGCTTTGGGAGGCCGAGGTGAGTGGATTGCCTGAGCCCACGGGTTCGAGACCTGCCTGGGCAACTTGGCGAGACATCATCTCTACAATAAATCAAAAAATTAGCTGAGCGTGGTAGCGCACGCCTGTAGTTCTAGCTACTTGGATTGCTGAGGTGGAAGGATCACCGGAGCCCAGCAGGCCGAGGCTGCAGTGGCCGGGAGCGGCCACTGCACTCCAGTCTGGGTGACAATGAGACTCCAACTCAAAAAAAAGAGTGGGGACTTGCTAATTCAAATTAATTAGATGAATTTTGGTTGGTATTTTGTTTCTTAGTTGGTTTGTTTGTTTGAGTCAGGGTCTCACTCTGTTGCCCACGCTGGAGGTCAGTGGCACAATCACGGCTCACCATAGTCTTGACCGCCTGGGCTCAAGTGATCCTTCAGTCTCAGCCTCCTGAGTAGCTGGAACTTCAAGCACACACCATTTCATCTGGCTATTTGTGTGTGTGTGTGTGTAAGACGAGGTCTCTCTATATTGTCTAGGCCAGTCTCAAACTCCTGGGCTCAAGTGATTCTCCCACCTCGGCCTCCCAAAGTGCGGGGATTACAGGTATGTGCCACCATGCCTGTCTTAGATTAATTTCTAAGCACATGTCTGCAAAATGAGAGCACTTTTGCAGTCAGCTGCTTATCTCACAGAATTGCATGATCTATTATTGGGAAAAATTTTAGTAGATGAGTTCACTCTGGTGGAGCATTAATAAATGAACAGTTGTTAAATGCTGACATGTCAGGATGAAAGCTACTATATCAGAATAAAGTGCTGCATCCATAGTACCACCATTTGACATCTACCAAACAGAGAAGAATGGTTCTTCAGCTCATGCAGAGCCAGTTTCCCAACAAATATTTATTCAGCTCCTACCAAGGTACCAGGCCCCAGGGTTACAATGAATAGCAAAAATAGACTCAGGTTTCCCTCATAATACAGTCTAGTAGAAAAGACAAAATCATCATATGGATAGATATATATATGTGTATGTGTGTACACATATATGTATATATGCATGTATGTATGTATATATTTGTGTATGCGTGCACGTATTCGTGTGTGTGTGTGAATATAGCTATGAACTGTGTAGACAAGTAACAAAGATGCCTGTAAAAAAATTGTAATTATCATATACTATGATAAGTGCTAAAACAGAAAGATGCAGTGATACTTATAGAAACTATATATCAGCCGGGCTCAGTGGCTCAGCCTGTAATCCCTCGCCTTGGGAGGCTGAGGTGAGTGGATTGCCTGAGCCCGCGGGTTCAAGACCTGCCTGGGCAACTTGGTGAGACCTCATCTCTACAATAAATTAAAAAATCAGCCAGGCGTGGTAGCGCACGCCTGTAGTTCCATTCTTGGAAGGCTGACAAGGAAGGATCGCCGGAGCCCAGCAGGTCGAGGCTGCAGTGGCCGGGAGCGGCCACTGCAGTCTGGGCAATGGAGTGAGACTCCAACTCAAAAAAAAAAAAAATGAAACTATGTATCACTTCTAAGGGAACAAAAACTCTGGATACCCATATGATAGCGCTTATGAGGGGGGTCCCCAAAAAACCTAGAATTTACTTATAAAAAATTGTGTATTCTTAAATGTTTAAACTTCAGTCACCTTAAAAGTACTCTCTATTTGATGCAATACACCCTTTGAGACACTTTTCCACTGCTCACAGTTTTTGAACTCGTCAATTTTGATGATTTTTAGTGCTTTTGCCATTTTTTGTTTCAGCTCTTCCACATCAGCAAAACGATTCTCTTTTAGAATTTTTTTACATCCAGGGAAACAAAAAATAGTCACTTAGGGCAAGATCAGGTGAATGTTGGTGAAGGGGGAATAGGAGTCATGTTGCTTTTGGTCAAAAACTGCTGAACACTCTGCACTGTGTGGGCAGATGTGCTTGTAAGTCACCCATCATAAAACGTCCAAATTTGTTGAAAGAATCTAAAAAAAAAAAATTCACTGAAGTCAAATTCTTATAGCAATGCTAGCTGGTACACTGATGCCAATGGATTCCTAGAACACTTACCTAGCAGGGGAAGCCTGTACTACATGGGGCCTGCCCTCCAACCATGTACTACATGGGTTTTTTGGGGTCTCCCTCATATATAGATACTTGAGTGAGCAGGGGACCATGTAATGGAGCCTCCAACCCTGCAGGAGTCTACACTACAATCTGAGGTTAACCTCTTTATCATGCTGGGGTAACCTTGACTTATCCTGATAGGATTTGTATATCTACCAGATTTAGGGAAACCATCTGTTTACTCTACAGATATCTCTCTATCAAAAATGGCAGTGGAGCAGCAGGGGTTCACAGGTTTGGGGTGTCTGATTAGACTGGGGCTTGACAGTTCCCTAAGAAGCCATCAATCTCTCCCTATTTCTTGCCTCACACTTCCTGTATGGTAGATCAATGGCTTCACAAAGCATTGCATTCTTGGGCCTCCAGTTTTTCAAGGCCAGGCCTGGCCAATACTTTAAACAAGTACACACAAAAGCATCACTGTTCACATTCCAGAAGGAGACCCGATGGGCGACTTACCAAAATCAGCCAGCTTGAGCTCTCCCAGGTGACTGATGAGTAAGTTCTGGGGTTTCAGGTCCCTGTGAAGAACGTGTTGGTGGTGGATGTATGCCAGGCCCCGCAGAAGCTGAAACATGAAGAGCTGGAAGGAGTCGACATGGTACCTTAGAAGATTTGAGCCACTATGTGTTGATTTCTCCTCTAAATCAAAACAGTCATCTGAAGGAATACAGCAAGAGTGTCTCTTGAGAGATCCCCCCCTCCACCAAAAGAGGATTTTACATTCAGAAGGGGAGAAAAGGACAAGGAAAGCCAAGAAACGAGACTATGTCCCAAGCAGAGGGATTCTGGCTTTTCTTGACATCTCGTTTCTTTGATACTGAAGGAATTACCCTTCCTTAAAAATCTAAAGTGAAACTTTGAAGTTTCCTTTGGAACACTAGTTATTGATTTAGATGTGAAAGATTTAAATTCTTCCCCACTGATGAACTTGGCATATAAGATCAAAGTTGACCTGGAAATGATATTCTAAAGTTTACAGCTGCTTAAGTTTTCCAGGTTCTCTGATATGAAACTCTTTTCAAAACACAGCACAGGGAGACCAGACTGGGAAATATATCTTTAGATGGTATTAGGAAATAAAGAAGTTATTATCTTTTTATACCTATTTTTAAAGTCTTAGATTCAAAGTTGAAAACAAGGGAAATACCCGATACAGATTAAGAGGAAAGAGAGACCAAAAGAAATCAGACCCACCGCCACTGTGCAAAATAAATAAATAAATAAAAAGAGAATAAGGAATAAATAGTAGGGAGCAGAAAGGAACAAGGGCAATGAAGGGGGAGAGAACAGGAAAAATACACTCTGGGCCCCAATTTTAGGATGCATCTCATGGTTATGAGGCACAGAAAGCAAAGATGTGACTAGGCTCCCACTAATACAGAAGCTTAAGGGAAAAGCAGAATGCTTCTATTTCAAGTGTCTTTTACTATTTTCCAGTGCCACTAGCAATTGACAATTCAAACACCAATGTCAGCCTTTAGGAAGACCTATGCCAGCTGAGAACATGTTCTGGCCATTTAGATAGGAAAGGGCCAGACCCAGAATTCCTGGGAACACAGGCAAAATGGCAGAGCTATGTGGACAAATCCACTTTTTCAGTGGCATCTTGGAAACTAGGAACTTTGGAGCTGCTGGGACTTACTGACCTAACAGTGACATGAAGATACTGGAGCCAAGCCCATGCCCAACTAGAGCAGGGGCCTTGGGAGCTGACCCACCACCGCACACCTGTAGCCATGCAGAGTGTGTGTAACATCCACGGCAGGTTCACAAGCCATTTAGGGATGCTAGAAATTTCTCAGCCAGGTGTGATGGTTCATGCCTATATTCCCAACACTTTGGGAGGCTAAAGAGGAAGGATCGCTTGAGCCCAAGAATTCGAAACCAGCCTGGGCAACATATTGAGACCTTGTCTCTACAAAAAAATTTTAAAAATCAGTCAGTTGTGGTGGTGCATATCTGTAGTCCCAGCTACACAGGAGGCTGAGGCAGAAGAATCAACTGAGTCTAGGAGGTCGAGGCTGCAGTGAGCCATGATTGCACTCTAGCCCGGGTAACAAAGTAAGACCCCGACTCAAAAAAAAAAGTGTTCTCTTCATTCCATCTATTCACCACACTGTCATCAGAGTGAGCTTTATAAAAAGAAAACCTGCTTAAAACCATGTAAAGTCCCCTCATCTGAATTAGCATGACCATGATATTGTAAAATATATATTTAATCCCCTAGGCATCTCCAAGGTGATGTCTTTAACAAGGTGACTGGCGGTTGGCAGTCCTGAGAAAGCTTCAGTATGGGAGCTGGCCAACTGAGAGACTGAGACAGGATTAGAGGTTCGTGGGAACCCCAAATTGTAGCCATTTGGTCAGAAGCACAGGTGAAACCACCTGGGGTTTGCACTTGGCATCTGAAGAGGGGCCATCTTGGGGACTGAGCCCTCAACCTGTGAGATCTGATGCCACCTCCAGATAGATAGCACCTGCACTGAGTTGAATTAGAGGGCATCTGAGTGCTTGCTTAGTGTGTGAGGGGGAAGCCTACACACATTTGGCTACAGATGCCTTCTGTGCAGTGTATGGTGTCTGTGTTTTTTCCACTCAGGATCACACAGATGAGTCCTTCCTGCTCTGGGTCCTATGCACCTCTTGAGTCTAGTCTCCAACCACCCCTCACTCTGCCCCTTCTAGGCATCTGCCTTCCTGAGTAACCTGTTCTGGGGATATGCCACGCCCTCTATGACATTCCAGCATTTTCACCACTGCCTCCACCTTAGGCAATACACCCCTCCTCCCACCTGCTTTGACTGGATCACGTCTTCCTTTGTGCCTCCAAATGCCTCCTATAAAACCCTCTATCAGTGTATCCCTCACAAATCCACAAAGTCCCTGCAGTCAAGAGTCTGGTTTTTAACTGTATTCCTGGTGTATTCTTGAAATTGTTTTTTCCCTTGACATCCATGACAATGTCTTTATCCGGGTGCTTTACATCCTAAAAGCTGCTTCCCTTTGTTCCTTGCTGTCCCAAAAGGGGAAGTTCTCTCCTCAGTCCTCCTCTCCTTGTGTATTTGTTATTTTGGTTATCCACTCTCTTATCTCATAAACTCCACATACCCATTACCCTCAAGTCTACAGCTACAGCTTCTATCTCCCTCTGGGCACCAAGCTCCTCTTCGGTTGCCTACTGCTCATTTTCCTTTTGATATCCTGTCTCAGGGAGGACTTCGATTTGTCCATATCTAAAACAGGACTTGGCCAGTTGCAATTACACCTGTAATCCCACCACTTTGGGAGGCAGAAGAGGGAGGATTGCTGAGGCTAGAAGTTTGAGACCTGCCTGGGCAACATAGTGAAACTCCGTCTCTACAAACATCAAAAAATTAGCAGGGTGTAGTGGCCTGTGCCTGTAGTCCCGGGTACTTGGGAGGCTGAGGTGGAAGGATCACCTGAAACCAGGAGGTCAAGGATCATGCTGTGAGCCATGATCCTGTCACTGCACTCCAGCCTGGGTGGCAGAGTGTGACCCCAACTCAAAACGAAAACAAAACCAAAAAATAAGACTCTTCCTCTCTCTCTCTCCAAATGAACTTTCCCTGTTTCTGCCAATAGGGCTATAATTCTCCTAGTCAATCAAACTCAAAATCAGTTTGCCCCATCCTTTCCCCTCATGCTCATGTTACCAAGTCCTAGCTAACTTCTTCCTTGTTACTGTTGTCCACATTGCTTCCCATTCTTACTGTCACTACCATAATTTAGATCTTTACTACTTTTTTTTTTTGAGTCAGAGTCTTACTCTGTTGCACAGGCCTGAGTGCAGCGGCACACTCACAGCCACTGCAGCTTTGACCTCCTGGGCTCAGGCGATACTTCCGGTTTAGTCTTCCAAGTAGCTGGGATTAGAGGTGTGCACCACCATGTCCAGCTAATTTGATTTTGATTTATTGTAGAGCCAAGGTCTCGCCCAATTACCCAGGCTGGTCTCGAATTCCTAGGCTGAGGCAATCCTCTCGCCTCCGCTTCCCAAATCACTGGGACTGCGCTACCGTGTAGGCATATGCTACAGTGTCTGGCAGATCTTTACTTCTTACCTAGATCCTTGCTACTCAAAGTCTGGTCCTCAGCCAGCATCCTATGTGGCATGGATCATGCTAGAAATGTAGAATATATTCCATATTTCAGGCCAACCAGAAATGCAGTACAGCACTCTTGGAGAAGAATCTGAACCAAGAATCACCAAGAATAACAGTGGCAAAAACCAGCTCTAGAACCTTAGATAAAATGTTTGTCCTCTCAGTTCTTGGATTCATTTTCTGCAAAACAGGGAAGTTAGATCAGTCCAGTGCTTTAAAGCCTTTGTGACTGCAATCCACAGCAGGAAATGCGTATGTGTCCAGTATTCACATCCATGTAGAAATATAAGTACGGCTACGGTCAGGCGCAGTGGCTCATGCCTATAACCCCAGCACTTTGGGAAGCCAAAGCAGGATAATCGTTTGAACCCAGGAGTTCAAGAACAGCCTAGGTAAGACCTTGACTCTACCAAAAAGAAAAAAAAAAAATCAGAAAAATAAGCCAGGCATTGTAGTGCAGGCCTATAGTCCCAGTTACTCAGAAGGCTGAGGCAGAAGGATAGCCTGAGCCCAGGAGGTCGAGGCTATAGTGAGCCATAATGGTGCCACTGTACTCCAGCCTGGGCAACAGAGTGAGACCCTGACTCAAAACACACACACACAAAATATGGTTACAAGGTTACAATTGGGACAAAAGTTGCACAAAATGATACTCTTCCTAAATGTAGGCATTCTAATATTTCTTATTCTTTTCTCATCCATTTAGTTTATTTTTTAAAGCTGCAGATTGCTAACCACCAATAGACTTCATAATCTAGGAACAGGTCAGAACCTACAGACTGGAAAACACCGTGGCCCTGCTAATCCTGACAGGCTATGTGTGACTCTGGGGCCCTCCTCCCTGAATGCATCCCTACCTCCCTGCTCTGTTCCCTCGCTGAAAACACTTCCTCTCCTAGTCATGCCTTGTTCTATTCCAGCCTCTTGAAATGTGTGCGTCAGTTAAGATCTGAAACCTCCTAAAACAGAAGGTATCTTTGATGTCCCTCACAGTCTATAGCACTAGGTCTTGCTTCTTCTTTGGCATCATACACCAATGTACCATCATAGCACTGGTGTGTATTTCATATCTCTACGTTTTGGCTGCAAGTTCGCTGAGGGCAGGAATCTTCCATGTGTTTTTACTCTTTTTTTCTTTTTTTGAGTTGGAGTCTCACTCTGTCACCCAGACTGGAGTGCAGTGGCCGCTCCCGGCCACTGCAGCCTCGACCTGCTGGGCTCAGGCGATCCTTCCACCTCAGCCTTCCAAGTGACTGGAACCACAGGCGCGTGCTACCATGCCCAGCTAATTTTTTGATTTATCGTAGAGATGAGGTCTCGCTAAGTTGCCCAGGCAGGTCTCGAACCCACCGACTTTTTACTCTTTAAGCATTCAGCACCTTGAGGGTAGTCAAGCCTGCAAATCTTCTCACTTTTTCCCAGTTCTTTCTCCAATTGTTCTTCTATTTAGCCAACACCACTATCTCTGTAACTATTAGCAATTTGCTTATCTTCACTTCCTTCTCTCTGGTTAGACACAGTCTAGAAGCCACTGTTGTCACTTAAACTCTCTCTTGATAATCTCCTCGACTCTCTTGCCCTACTGTCCTTTCCTTTCATATGTCGACAAAACTGCTGCTCTAGCCAGGCCTAGAGGTTCACGCCTGTAATCTCAGAACTGTGGGAGGCAGAGGTGAGAAGATTGTCTGAGCTCAGGGGTTTGAGATTAGCCTGGACAACTTGGAGAGACCTCATCTCTACAATAAATCAAAATCAAATTATCTGGGCATGGTGGTGCATGACTGTAGTCCCAGCTACTTGGAAGGCTGAGGCAGAAGGATCTCCTGAGCCCAGCAGGTCAAGGCTGGGTAGCCATGTGTCATTGCACTCCAGTCTAGGCAACAGAGTGAGACTCTGACTAATAAAAAAAACAAAAACACTGCAGCTCTCTTCACCCATGGGACCTTGCCAAAAACAAAAACAAAACCCAACACTGATTCAATCCAAATGTCTACTTTCTCTGCTCCTCTATTCAAACTGCTCAGTACTGTCATTTAAAAACAAAACAAAATAAAACTTTTTTTTTGAGTTGGAGTCTCATTCCGTTGCCCAGGCTGGAATGCAGTGGCACACTCACAGCCACCCCAGCGTCAACCTGCTGGGCTCTGGCAATCCATCCATCTCTGGCGAGCCTTCCAAGTAGCCAGAACTACAGGCATGCACTACCACACCCAAATTTTTTATTTGTTGGAGAGATGAGGTCTCGCCAAGTTGCCCGGGCAGGTCACGAACCTGTGGGCTTAGGCAATCCACTCGCCTCGGCCTCCCAAAGTGCTGGGATTATAGGCTGAGCCACCGAGCCTGGCCAAACTTTTTTTTTAAATCTATGTTCATTGCAGATCATGTAATGGTCTTCACCCTACCCTGGGTCCATAACACACTACAGGACACTCCTTCTCGGTTTCCATAGTTAGTTCTCTATCCCATTCCCCACATAGCAATTTGAATTCTTTTCACCCTTCTCAACCCTTTGTCCTCAAAGATTTCTTTTCAAGCCCTGGCCTCCAAGACTGGGTGAAGTCCCCTTACTGTGCGCCTGTTTTCCTCCTCGTTAGCATGACCACAGGCCTAGTGCTTTGCTTCTCATTGTCTATTTTAGTTCATTTATCTTAAAAACCTCATTGGAAATAAGAAACACAATTGACCCATCATTGAAACCCCAGAATTGTAAAAGCACTGAGTAGTACTCAATAAATACTTCTTAAATGAGTGAATTAATAAATATTAGTTAAATGAATAAATATATCACATACAAATTTCATATGGTTATTTTAAGAGACAATAAATTAATGCCACTAAAATCTTAGAGAATAAAAACTATGAAGTTTAAATGTTTCTAAAATTTATAACAGGTATAGAATTATAGCTCATTAAGAGTTTATTATTATTTCTATTCCAGTAGCAGGAAAAATGAAAGTTAGTCCCACATATATAATAGGAGCTACTAGAACAGGCAATGCAAACTTTATCACAGACCACAGTAATCTGCCATCGAAAGGTATTGGCTGAGTGTGGTGACCCACACCTGTAATCCCAGCACTTCAGGAGGCCAAGGTGGGAGAATTACTTGAAACCAGGAGTTCAAGACTAGCCTGGGCAACATAGCAAGACTCTGCCTCTACAAAAAAAAAGAAAAAAAAAGAAAGAAAAAAAAAGCCAGGTGTGGTGGCTCATGGAGCCCCAGCTACTTAGGTGGATGAGGTGAGATCACTTGAGCCCAGGAGGTCGAGGCTGCAGTGAGCTGTGATTGCACCTCTGTACTCCAGCCAGGGTGACAAGGGAAGATCTTGTCTCTAAAAAAATTTTTTTTTAAACTGCAGGTTACCCAACACACCCATTTTAAGAGGCTGGAATAGAGCAAGTTGTGACAGGGAGAAGAAATGTTTTTAGCAAGGGAACATATACTATTTTATGATGGCCTATCTTCACTTCTTCCCTTTTAATGGAATTCTCATTAATGGTTTCCACTTCTAAGGACACATTTGCATAATAGGGAAGACTGACAGCTTGAAGCTGCCAGAAAACAGCTGGATGTTGCACTATATCTTGAGGGGCAACTCTTCTTTTTTTATTTTTATTTATTATTATTATTATTTTGCTTTTCTCTGGACTATCACTGACATCCCTCTTCTTATATAGTGTCATGGGACTTTGCTTTGTGATGCAGTCTGTTTCAAAATCCTCCCTGGCAAGCCAGAGGATGGTGCCAACTCTCTGCATACTCACCCTGACATTATGAGGATGAAGCCCTCCTGGATGCTGAGACATGTACTGGGCCAGGTCTGTGTGCTAAACAAACAACAGAGAAAGAGAAGAGAGTGGATTGAGTGGTGCTTGGATACTATCCCAAAGCAGACCACAACCTTGACTGTTAGAAGGTATGACGAAGTTCAGAATTTTTTAGAATAAGATGCAAAGGGAACATAACCAGGTTTTCTGAGACCCCACTGTTAAGGTCAAACACTGTGTCTTTCTAACTGGCTGCTCTTAGAAAGAAGCCTGTTTCTCAGCACAAACAGAGATGCTCATTTTAAGCCACTGGCACTGAATGCGACAACACAGGATTTTTCACTCTCCAAGTGTCCTTGGAGGCGAGTCAAGTACACATACCTTATGATTTCTTTCTGCTTATTTGAATATTTTTTCTTCCAAAAATAAGAAATGAGTTATTCTTAAGTAAGCTGGTATGCAATTTTTAAATATCTTGTGATTATACTGCTACTGTCAATGAAAAAGCATTGAATTCTTCTCAGATAGTGATTAAAAATAAACGCAAAAGTTAAGTAGAGTGAGATGGCTCATGCAACTCAGGAGGCTGAGGAGGAGGATAGCTTGAGGCCAGGAGTTCAAGATCAGTCTGGACAACATAGCAAGACCTCATTTCTACACAAAATTTAAAAATTAGCCTGGTGTCAAAATTAAAAAATCAGGCTGGGCCCAGTGACCCATACCTGTAATCTCAGCACTTTGGGAGCTAAGACAGGAGGATTACTTCAGCCCAAAGGTTTGAGACCAGCCTAGGCAAAATACCAAGACTTTATTTCTACAAAAAAATTTAAAAATTAGCCGGGCATGGAGACAGGTGTTTGTAGTCTCAACTACTCAGGAGGTTGAGGTGGAAGGATTGCCTGAGCCCAGGAGGCTGAGGCCTTGGTGAGTCATGATTGTGCCACTGCACTCCAACCTGGGCAACAGCCTGGGTAACTGAAACTCTGACTCAAAAAAATAAAAATAGAAAATAAAAAATTATCCAGGCATAGTGATGCCTGTAGTCCCAGTTACTCGGGAAGCTGAGGCAGGAGGATGGCTTGAGCCCAGATGTTTGAGGCTGCAGTGGGCTATGATCAATCACTGCCCTCCAGCCTGAGCAACCCTGTCTCCAAAAATAAAAAAATAAAATAAAAAGTTTATTAGGAAGCAAACTTAGAATCCTTATTTATTGCTGATGAGGGGGAAAGGTATAGCAAAAATAGTAGGTAAAGAAGCAGAACTAAAGATGGATGTGAGAACAGTAAGGTTGACTAATCCCAGTAATGACAATTTTCATGATACCTTCCACATTGTAATGAAAGTTTTATCATGTCATAAAATATTAACAGATTCGTTATATAAGCACCAGGCTTTCCCCCCCATGCGTTGTAAAATGCTGGAGCAACTCACCATGTATTCAAAAACAAAAGTCAGTGTCTCCTTGGTGTGGATTATGTCGTGCAGAAGCACAATGTTGGCATGTTTCAAACCCTTCAGGAGGGAAGCTAGAAAAATTAAACAAAATGTTAAATCAATCATTGATCACGAAAGTGCTGCTTTAAAGACATCAAAACAAGCATTCTGGTCTTTTACTGATGGATAAAAAAACTCTTACTGCAAAAGAATATTTAAAAGTACAAAGGACCTTCATTATTGCAAGAATGGCAAATTATTGCATTTATACAACTTATTCCTCTTACAGGCTAGAGTGGTTGCGAAAAGTATGTTTCCATTTACATAATCAATTTCATCAAAAGCACTGCACTCAAGCACTTTGAGAAGGTTGTCCTCTGGGAATCCTGTCCTCCCTGCTCAGGGCTGCAGGCACCGAGGCCTGTACAGATAATGGCCATCGGCCATCCGCAGGAGATGGACTGCCTTGCTTTCTAGGGCAGGACTTTGCAATGTGTAACCAGTCTCCCAAATCCCAAGTACCACACGGGTCCATAGGTGGGTGGGTGTGGCTGATGGGAGGCAGGGATAAGAGCATGGAGTGAAGAATTATTGAAACATAATAGTGGAAAGACTTTCTTAAAGATAATGCAAACCTTATTTTGTTATTTTATTGCACAGCTAAAGCATCACTATTGTGTCCACATGTCTAACAAACTTTGTGATGGGTTCTTGAGGAGGCAGTTAATGTAAGAATTTTTGTGAGGAGAAAAAAGAAAGTTGCTAGTACATGAGACTAAAATGGAATGAGATAGGAAACATGTAATCTGCCAGATATTGTATACATGATGAGAATTAAAACTGTATCTTATACTTTTAAGGATTGTACTTGTCCAAGAAAACATATGACACAAGATTTGAAGCAGCACTCTTTTATAGGTAAAAAAGACATTTTCAACACTTGGGTGATACAGCACCAAAATGGACTAGCAGAAACCACCAAATGGCTAGCAGAAGAAGCAAAGACAATTACCAAAGTTATCCAGAAAATATAATCATCATCATCAAACCTATGATACATTATAGCAGGAAATGGGGCAGGGGTTGTTAAACAGCATAGGTATAAGAAAACCAAGGTCAAAGAATAAGGTAGCTAAGTATACTTTGAATTAGCATGTGCAAGAAAACCTGGAAACTCCAAAAGTAACTGATTGAGCCTTAATCAGTGAAATGGATAACGTAATAAGCTACCCTGTGAAAGGAGAAAGCGTAAACTTGTAGAGAGGCGAGTGCCGAACTTGGGGAGCCCAGAGTTATAAGTGGAGAGGGCTGAGGACTGTCTCCCTCTCTTCAGTAACAGGTTGTTATTAGGTCACTAAATGCAGCTTGAAGGAGGAGAAGCCACCACAAAAGGTCAGAAGTGGGAGGGAAGGGACTTCAAAGGTTGTCATTGGGGGTTCCAGAGATAGAAAGACACCTGGCTTCAGGAGGGCAAAGACTAGAAAAGACACAAGGAGACAATGAGTCTCAGCTCAGGGCATCTCTGCATGAGGAAATGGTGTCTTTAAGACGAAGAGTTAAGAATAAAAGCTCACATCAGTGTTCTGTAGGTTATGCCTGCATGTCATGAGCTTCCTGCACCAACTCACTCCCAGTGTAGAATTCTGTAGGATTAAAAGCAAACAAGCTCAAATACTCCCTTAGATTTGAGAACAGAGTTATTTCCTTCAGGGGTCTTAACACTTAATGAATCTCTGTTGTTTTGCCTGCCTGACCGCCATTCTTGCTTGTAGTAGGGATACTTCTGTTTTTTCTCTGGGGAATCAACTCCCTGCTTACTCAGTCCATGCTATTCTGGAGGGGCTGATCCTGCCTCTACCCAATAGTGAGTATGTGACCTGGGACTGGCCAATAAGAACACAGCACATCCCTAGCCACAGTGACTAGTGCAGAGACCCACACAAAACCCAAGTCTGAGAGATCCCTACTTTGCTGGTGGCAAAATAGGTGTTTTCTACTGTGAGGACTAAACTTGTGGGATTTAGCCAGGAGTTGCTGGGGTCACATGACCAACACCTGGTGACAGCATACCTGGGAATAAAAGGAAGGCACAGCAAACCAGTGTTAGGTAATGCACAGACATGGCTTTCTGGTGACATTGTTAGTGCCTTGCAAGTCAGTGAATTTCCTCCTTTACTTAAATCCATTTCAGCTGAGCTCTGTTGTAACTGTTAACCCTGCTTTAATGACGAATGCTCTAATTTTTACTTTTTGCCCCCAGAGTCCTTATGAACTAAATTTATTATTGCACTTTTGCAAGTGTGTTGCTTTGTAAGTGGAATAAACAGTTTCTCAGGCATCTGTTTAATCTCCCTGGTTGAGACTGAAAGCTCACGTGAACAGAGGGAGTGACTTTCCCTCTTTTTTGAGACACTGCCACACCACCTAGTACAACACTCAGCCAAGAGTGAGCACTTAATTTATCAAACATATTTATTGAGTGTCTTAAGGGAGAACTGTCTGCAGAGCCAGAAGCCCTGATATGAATGCTGGCCCTGTCACCTCCTATCTGAGCAAGATCTGGAGAGCATCTCAACCCAAGTCTCAACTCATTCTGACTTGACTTCACAGGGCTGATATGAGAATGGAATCAGATATGAGGATGCAAATTAGAATTAATAGCCCTGCCATCAACTTCCTGCCCCTGCCTTTCATCCTGAACTCCATTAAATCCCCACTCCCAATCTTAAAGTTTTGTTTATGGTATGTTTCCACTGGAGTTTTTACCACCTTCCATATTTACAGTATTGACTTCTGACCATTAGTTGAGAATGCTTGTATTTTATGTGTGTTTTTATTTACAAATTATTTTCTAAATTTTCTCTCTCCTGCCCCCTGCCCCATTCCATGTTACAAAGCATACACCAAAATTAGATTTTATTTTATTTTATTTTTAAATTGAGACAGGGTGTCCCTATGCTGCTCATGCTGGTCTCAAACTCCTGGTCTCAAGGGATCCTCTTGCCTCCCATTGTGCTGGGATGACAGGTGTGAGTCACTGCACTTAGCCAAAATTAGATTTTGAAAGGATATGGTAGAGCTGAAATTGCTAAGGATATTGCTAAAATATTTTAATTTTATTTTTAATTTTATTTTAGTCTCACTTAAACATATTACTAAAACTCCTGATACTTCTAATTCATGACAGCATGTTTAGCTAATCATGATGGCTTCATACTACCATTTGCTAAAATGCTCAAAGAACAAGATCCACTTGGGATGAGGCTCACTGCTAACAGCAGTGGGTATAACTCCTTACTCCATCTAGTTTTCTTGATACTTTCAGGAATAGGAAAAGTGTTTGTCTTGCATTTCTCTGTTGCTCACTTATGTTTCTATTAGTTTTATCTTCAATCTACAACCCCAATTTCTTTGCAGAAATCTTCAAACCATGCATCTATTTTCTGGAGGTTCGCTACTAGTCAATAGCGGTTCCTCTCAACTCTTTCTCAGGCCCTCATCCAACCCATTCACACATCTACTGGCATCATCTTCAACACATGTTCAGAACCTCTCTTTCTTGCCATAGCTTCTGCTCCCATCCTTGGCCAAGCCACCAGCCTATGTTGGCTGAATTATCGCAGAAGTCTCCTCACTGTCTTCCTGCTTCCACCTTTCCTCCCTATGGTCTCTTCTTCACAGGACAGCCAGACACTGCCCTCCTTCTCAAAAGAAAGTCAGGCCATGTCCCTCCCAGTCCCAGACCCTCCAGTGACCTCTCATCTTACAGTAAATCCAAAGGACTGGTGATGGCCCACCCACCCTGCTGCACCTGGTCATGCTCCACTATGACCTGTCCCCCACTCTCACTCCCATTCTTGGTCACCTGGCTCTGGCTACATTGGCCTCCTTGCTGTTTCTTAGACATTTCCAAGTATGTCTCCACTCCAGGGTCTTCTGCCTTCCTGCTTCTCCGACTGTAACCCTCAATCCCACTCTCCATGCCTCCTCCCATGTGCACTTCTGGTCTCTGCCCAAATGACCCAGGCAGGCATAGGCTTCCTTGACCATTCTAGCAGCCCTCCACCCCACCCCAGGGACCCTCTGTCCCTGGGCCCTGCCTTATTTTTTTCCACAGCACTTTTTAGCACCCCTTGACATATTCTAGATCTATTTAGTGTCTGTCTCCATCCTTGAGAATACAAACTTCCTTGAGAGAAAGATTTATGTTCTTTTTGCTTATTCCTGTATCCTCAGTGCCTACAACAAGGGCACGCAATTAAACACTTACTTTTGAATTAGTGGTCACTAATGACTTAATATCATTTGCATATGTATTATATATGCATAATATTGTATTGTTGGTTGGTAAAGGGTGTTTCTGTTGAAGATGCCTTTATTCCCTGTTTCCTTTTTTCTTTCTTTTTTTTGAGTCAGAGTCTTGTTCTGTCACCCAGCTTGGAGTGCAACAGCACAATCATGGCTCACCGCAGTCTCGACCTCCCAGCCTCAGGCGATCCTTCTGCCTCAGTCTCCCAAAATACTGGGATTACAGGCATGAGCCACTGCACCCAGTCCTTGTTTCTTTTAGTTGTCTCCCTCATTAAATTATAAATGTTGTGTGCTTTTATGTCCAAGACTATTACTGCTTTTCTAATGCCCCAGAACTGCTGAAATAGTCCTGTGAAAACTGTGAATTTTGCTGAGTAATGACTAGGGAATTTAGATGAAAGAGCAGATCATGTGTAAAGCATTTATCTCATCGTCTTGTTGGTATATCATTTGGTCCATCCACCAGAGGGATCTAAAATGCTTACAGCCTCAGTCGTGTGGGTCTGAAACCCAGGAAAAAAAGGTCTTTTTTTCTTCTAATTCCAAAGATGTCTCACAAGCTTCACAGCAGGATGTGGTGTCTATTCTGCAGACTAAATAGCTGGGGGGACACAAAAGACTGAGAAGGGGAAAGAACCTAAAATCAGCATTCAGACTCTCATAAAAATCATAGTTTTATATAATTCACATATCCCAAGTATACTTATTTTTGTTTTTCTTCAAAGAAAAGACACAAAAATAAATGGGAGGTCTTGAAATCTCCAGACAATTCCCAGTGGAA